CCAACATTCGAAGGCCTGATATCGACGACATACAAGTATACATCACAAAACATCCTTTAAAATTTAGCAAACACGTTTTAAGATTACCTCAATTTCTAGAAACTAGATCATTATTAATCCACACTAACATTTTCCTTAAATGAATATGTGGACAATTTAAAAAAAAATTTTTTTATGCAAATTAATGCAGTATCTTTGACAAAGCTAGTCCCGGTTAAATGCTTTAGTATTGAAACACACTTTAATAAATCTTGAAAGACAAAAATGTTTTGTTATTATACTATTAGTAATCAGAATCATATTAATCTGATTATGATGAGAAGGCTTTTTTTTTAATCAAAAAAGAAAAAAAAAAGAAAGAATAAACATCAAAATTACAGAGGAGGAAGAAGTGATCAAATTTTAATGGATTTCATTTTTACGAAGGATTAACAATAAGACAAGTTTCGAACGACTCGTGTGCATGATGAATCATAAAAATTCTTTATAAAAACGATTTGCATAAATGATTTTATATTTTTAAAGGTATCAAAGCAAACTTGGCTTTTTTTTTATCAAACTTAGACTAAAATTATTACTATTTAAAATTTTTTAGACATCATGATGAAGAAAGCTCTTTTTCTCTTGACGATACTTGTTGTTTATGCTGTGGTTTCTGAAGCAGGATTATGTAAAAAAGTGTGCAAGAAATACTGCATAAAAAAGTGGGTCTGTAAGAAAGTATGCAAATCATTGTGTAGTGAACCATTTAATGAGTAAGTTTTTTACTTTTCAATTCAAGCTTTAACAGTAAAATAACAAATTTTCTGTTTAACTATACATAGCATTATACTTAAATAGAACTTTAAAATATTTATATAAATATGCATAAATGTATAAATAAAGTTTCACTTCAAATCCGATAATTGAAAAAAAAAAACTTTTGTTGCTTTTTTTAAACATAAAACTAATAATTTAAAAAAAAATTCATTTTTAGAAAATTTAAATGTCCTCTTTAAGCTGATATATGCATTTGAGTTTTTGAAATAAAATTTAAAATTGCTTAATTTAAATATAGCCTCATGGTGTTTAGTAGATTAGAAAGCTCAAAAGAATCAATTTTGACCCGTTTTTAGATAGCTTGTTTCAATTCATATTAATGAATATAACTAATTGATTAGAAAACTGATGCTATAATTTAGCATTTTGGCAGCATACAAAAATAGGTAGAACACTGCAGTTATTTTAACAAGATTTAAGTTCTGTCCAATAGAATTCCTATCCACTCGGTAAATAAAGATTTTGATCCTAAAAGCATTTAAGAAAGATGTTTTTTGTATTTATTTTATNATTGATTAGAAAACTGATGCTATAATTTAGCATTTTGGCAGCATACAAAAATAGGTAGAACACTGCAGTTATTTTAACAAGATTTAAGTTCTGTCCAATAGAATTCATATCCACTCGGTAAATAAAGATTTTGATCCTAAAAGCATTTAAGAAAGATGTTTTTGTATTTATTTTATAAAGAAAAAACAAGTTTTTAAAAATATTAAAAAAATTGGTTGTTATGCCTTTTAAACATTTAATTCATATGATTTTAAATTCAAATTTAATTAAAATAGGTCTTTGCATTGCATTTTGAGTATCATTTAGCAAGCCATAAAATTTGAAAATAATGCGATATGCTTTATTTAATTAAAAGAAAATCCTATAAAATTCTGCCCTGAAAAGTCAATATTAATGGATGCATCAATGTTAAATATTTATGCAAATGTATAATTTAGTTACATCAATGAATAAAAACATTTAAAAGAAATAACTGCAATTTATTGACTCAGGTTTGGCTAATTTAAATAAGACACCACAGAATTCATTTAAACTTGTTAAGACCTTCAGCATATTTACCCAGATTTCATGTATGCTATGACCCCAGAAAAAAGTAAATGGGCAGGAAAGAACCTATCTTCGAGGAGCACTCCTTTTCAGAGTAGACTTACAATTAAATGGCAACAACACTAGTGAGAAAATTATAAAATTCAATACTAGTGACCGAAAATCAACCTCGCTAGCTGACCCATTTTCATATCTTTCTTATAATTGGATATATGATAGACTCTTCCTCTAGCAGAGAGTTGATCACAACGAAGCATGCCCAAGGAATATTTTGCTTCATTTTTAAGATAAAACATGATGAGATTTGTAACAGTTAAAACCCATCATATATATAATATACAAGAAAAGGCCTCTTAAAAATATGCGAACTATGTATTAATTAGTGACAATATAACTTCAAAATATATATATAATATTAAATTAACACTGTCACATTCAGTTAATTTTTGTTGCACTTTTAATTTAGTTATTACAACCTTTGTTTGTCAGACATTAATTTCCTTCAGTACATGTTGGTGAAAATTTTTAGAGAAAAAACTTATATTCCATAACATGATTCGATCTAGCAAAAATCTTAATATTAAAAAACTGCTTTTTGAACTTTATAGAAACTTCATTTTCAAAGGTCACTTAATAAAAACCTCAAATAAATGTGGCTAAAGTGAAATTCAGTGTTTGAAAATTTTCATATAAATCCAGGCTAAAGTGATATATTTCTGTTAAGACATGCTAATGAACAAAAACAATAACAGCAGGATAATTTTTTTAAAAAAAAAAAATACTTTCGAAAATCTTTTCTAACATTTCTCAAAAGAAAATTGTGAATTGAAACTCATATAACTTATACCTTATCAAACAAAAGTAAAAACAAGTAATTTTTAAGAAAACATATATTTTATATAAAATTTTAAGTAAAATACTGCTGATCACAACTTTTTGCTCTTTAATTGAAAATTTTGTAAAAAGTAAGAATCTATTTTTGAAACATTATAAATATTGACAGAAATTAAAAATTTCCAAGATAAGAGTACTACTGATATTTCAAGCTACCTTTTGTGATACCTAAAAAAAGTATAAATTTGCTATTAAAAATTCTGCAAAAAAAGAAAAAATTGAGAAAACATTAAAGAAAAAAAATTTTTTTTCACGACGACAAAAGACAACCTTTTTGAATAACAGGCCTCAGAGAATGAAAGCAATTAGCTTAAAGGGAATTTTGTTCTAATGAATAAAAAAAAATTTTTTTTGAGCAATCATACAAAATGAGTTTTGTATTAAAAGCCTGTTTACGATATTTTGGACTAGTTGTGTATCTTCTGATTTGAGCTTTCAATATTTTTGCCATGTTCGGCTTTATCAAAAACCAAGAAATAAAATAACCTCAGTGACAACTCATCCTTAACAGCTTTCACAAATTTCTTTAAACCTTGCCATATTAGTTATGTTTATTATTGAATACAATATTATAATGCCATACCTGCCAACATTGGAGAAATAAATAATGAAGATTTTACTAGCAAAATTCTTTGGGATACGTGTACAGTTTTGATACATCATGCATAATCATGAAGTCAAAAAAAGAAATTAAAAAAATTGGAAATAATAAATATACAGCTCATTTTCTAGAGGCCAAACTCACACCCACAATAAATAATTCTGAAAAAAGAAATACATTTATGTTTTGACTTTTGGTAAATATACAATGCAAACAAACGAAGTCATTGCCAGATTCCTATAGGAAAAAATTGAAGCATGTTATTGGAGAAAAAATGATTGTCTGAATAAACGACATAGCCGTCCCGGAATGGCAATAGCACATCTGTTGAGGAATAAGCAAAGTAGTTTTTCTATTAATGGATATTTATAGCTAAAAATTTATTTTTTTTAAAAGATTTCTTTTAAGAATATGGAGAATTTTAAGAATACACGGGTAAACGGGAGACAGAAGTAAAATATGGGAGTCTTTCTTAAAAAACAGGAGACTCCACAGGAATGTAAATTGTGAATTCTTTAAATCACTAAAATAGTATTATATGCTACATTGCTGGTAATTAGGAAAAAAAATATTTGCAAACATCTGTAATATTTTCAAAAACTCCTCACACTTAAAAATAGATTTAAACAAAATATGCACTATATCTCTTATATTTAATTTTTTTTTAGATCAACATCCAATGCTCCTGAATATATATACTACACAGTGGAAGATGAAAAGGTAAACAATTTGATTAGTTTATCTTTGGAAAGCACCTAATCAATTATCAGCAGTTTTTATTTATGAATTATAAGCAGTTGAATTATATGCTTAGGTTTAAAGACCCATAAAATATGATACTTAAGAATTTCAGGCATTTTTCTATTTACATTTGCCAAATAGAGTTGTATTTCGCACTAAAGATGTGTTTTAATTCATTATTTGCAGTTTCACTATTAAAGCATGTTGCTCTTTATTTCACCTGTTTCAACTTATACTTTCAATGAAAGATTTTCAACTATGAATGTAAATGAAGTAAATAGAATAATATAATTTTACAGTGATGTTCAAACTATAATTTGATTATTCATTATATGATAAATTTGAAAGAAATTTCATTTAAGGAATAACATGTAACTCTCTGAATACTCATTTAAAACGTTTTTCTTCTTTTCAGCGAATTGATTTTCAGAAATGATGTTCCATTGAAGAAATAATGCGAGGAATTTTGTAATGTATAATTTATAAAACATTTATAAATGTCTATAACTACACTGTTTGTATAAAATTGTTTTAAATACTATAGAAAATATATACTTTTTATACAATATATCTTTCACTTAATTGTTTAAGTTATTAAGTTAAACTGTATATGGTAAACGACTCGCAGGTACACAGAACACAAATTAAATAGCTTTAGTTTTAATTAGTAAACTCACAAAAGTTAAACCAATGCCAGTTTATTTTGATAATTAAATTATTATCAGTTAAATTTTTTGATTCTTAGATCAAAAATAGTAGTAAAATCCACTTATTAAAAGAAACTTTTTTTTTAAAAACAGCATTTAATGTTTAAGTAAAATAAATTCTCAGTATTAGGTTCATCAGGTTTTCTTCCCAAATGTAAATAACAATCAAACACAAATAAAGATCATTTATATTAATATCTATTTATTGGAATGCTTGAATAAATACGTGTTCATAAATAAGAGTAGTTGGAAAAAAATATTCAGCAAGTACAAAGCAGAAACAAAAAAAAACAATACCAAGATTAAATTAATGTGACTAGAACTAAAGAGTGAGCACTTGAAAAAATATATACAAGAGAAATCAAAATACTAAAATCAGCTAAATAAATTTCTTAAAAATTTTTTGTTTAAATTTCAAAAAGTAAAGCAAAGGGTGCAAAAAAAAAAATTAAAAAAAAAAAACACTTCTTGTTCAATTATGCAGAGGTTTGATGAAGAAACAATGAATTTTAATTTAAAAATGTTTACACTTTCAGGACAGCTTATTTCAGTTAAATAAAATCATTTCCTTTTTTAATTCTCTTCATATATCCAACTATCCATTGCTTGGGAATAGTTGGTTAGTTCATCCTCAGTAAACCATAAAGATATTTCTCTCTCAGCACTAGGAAGGGAATCGCTTCCATGAATAATGTTTCTGCAAAAAAAAAAAAATATGCAAACATGAAAATTCAATTTTATAAGATTTTAGAAAATTCATTGTTAAAGATTACATAACAAGATTAAATTAAACTTTAAAATACAACATAGTATAATTTTAGTCAAAAATTTATTGCATATTATATGGCAAATTGTTCATTGTTAGTAATTAAATAAGCTAAAATTTTAAGCAAAAAATATAGTTCAGTACAGTACATAAAATAGTTGGATGAGAATATGCATCTAACTACTTCAATCAGGGATGAGATTGGCCAAAAGGCAAAAAAGCTGGATTTTCATGAAAGTATATCTTACATGATTTATAGCAAAAATATGAGTAACATATTCTCATCCAGTTTCGCTGATGTTGTAATGCCTATATATAGCAATAATCATCGATAGAAAAACTGCCACATTTATAGTAACTAATTCAAGAAAAAACTTAACATTTATAAGAATTGTGATAAAGGATTTCAAAAGCGCGTGAATATAAATCGCGATATTGAAATCATGGGAATGAAACTCTATATTGGATTTCAAAAATGTAAAATACAAATCATGATGCATAATGTTCAGATCACGTAAATACAAATTACGATGCATATTTTCTAAATGGCATGAATGTGAATCCAAAACCTAATTTTCAAATCATGTGCAAACACGAAAATAGATGTTAGATATTACAAGTGCAAAAACAAATCACGACATTGGATAAACTCACATGACTACGATATGTTACACAGAATTTTAAAAACGCCTCAATACAAATCTCGTAAATAAGAATTGCAATGAAGGATATTGAAATCACGTGAATAAGAATTGCAACACGCAACTTTGAAATCAGGTAAATACAAAAATTGACGTTTGATATTAAAATGCAGCGATGTCTGGATTATGAAAACCCAAGCTATCTAGCAGAAGGGTAAAAATGAGGAAAATCTTATTTTCTGCTTGCAAAAGCTAATAGTTAAAATAAGTAGATATGTGGAAGGGTAGACAGCTATGTAGTTTGAATTTTCTATATATCTTTCGATATATTATGCGATTGATTATATCTATATATCAAATCAGAAATAAATATAATTATTTTATTTCAACGACTTAATTTTCAGAATCACTCGTTTAGAGAATCGGAGTCTTTGATAAAAAGGCTGAAATTTAAGAGACAAAAGCATAAAAGGAGGAAACCCACTAAAAAGCAGAAATATCCCATCCCTGTTCAATGTCGCAAGCCACAAGAAAGTTTTGTCACATGATATTGCATGCTCAGGCAACAAACATGTTAATCAGTATTTTACATGGGTTTTTTATGCTTACATTATCTGGACTTAATATAATTCTAATTAAAATTCATACTGACGTAATGGTAAGAATCGAGGGGAAGATATATTTTTCTATTCAAACGAAATTTTTTTAGCAAAAACACAATTTGTTTTGCTGAATTTGTGATTTTATCGAATTTCACGAGGTGAAATACTTAATTTGCTTAATTAAAAATGAATGCTTAATGCTAATGAATTAAAAATAAATGCTTCATTAAAAATGAATTTAGTGGGCCCTGCAAAAATCATATGTTTTATAAAGAAAAATTTACAAAAGGGTCCAGCATAAATAACAGTTGTATGAATATCATAATATACAGAAATTTTCAACATAATTCAAATATTTTCCATTTATATATTTATTAGTAAAATTCTTTTAATAATTACTATTGAATTCCCCACAAATAACTAATTATAGTACATCAATAATTAAATTTTTAAATATTATTATGATAAATCACAATACATTAGGAAAAAAATACTGAAATTAAAAATATTTAATTTTCTACATGGTTCATAGGCACCTGGTAAAAATTAATTTTAATATGTATCAATAGTGGAATAATGAAGTTGAAAGATTCAGAATTAGCTTTCATCATAGAGGAAGAAATTATAATTCAAGGCCAAAGATTTAGGTATATTTACTAACAGTTATTAAAATATTCTGGCAGTTTCAAATATAAAATACTATTTTTCTTCTTAATATTACTACCACCTAGTAAAACTTTGCATACAAACTCTGATAGCAAGAAGTAATTTTAATAATATGTTTATCTTGCTTGCTTCTTTAGCTAGGGAGTTAAAATGTCTTCTGACTAATTAATCTCCCCATGAATATACACCACACTTAAAAAGTTAAATCAGATTTGTGACAACCAATTTCTCAGAAAAAAAACATAAACTTTAATGATGAAAATGGGTATTCATAACTAGATATTGCATAAAGTACAGTCAAAAGCAAATGTACCCCAAGGACAAAACTTAGTATGATGGTAATGGCAATAACATTTAGCTATTTTCTATTCTTAAAATATATTTTTCCTCTCATACCCAAGTTGTTCACAGCTGGGAAAATTTTAATATGTGCTAGAGAAAGACTGAAGAAAAAAATTGCTCTCACTTAATTCCTAAAATTAAAACCTTTAAAATTTTTAACAATGTCATGAAACATTTGTCCCCCCCCCCTAAAGATTTCCTGGACACCTGCATATCACACTAATAACAGTTTTGGGTTGCAACTAAGAGCTGTAGTATTTAAGAATTCTAAAAATTTAGTATTTGTTGTAGTTGCTTTAGAAAATATACGAAAACTAAGCATTTCTAATACTGCTTTAACAATGCCTACTAGAGTAGTGCTTCTCATTACTATTAGCTGATTGGTTGTACCAGGCATAGCAATTTTAAAACTTAATTTATTGCATCAACTGTAATGATTTTTGCATTATGTCACAAAAACCTTCATTAATGTAGTCAAGTTATTAGCTGGGAAGAAAAAGAAATTCAGCTCTTACAATTTGTCAAGCATAGTCAATCCCTAAATGAAACATTTTCTTGCAATTTGAGAAAATGGCAGGTGGCAGCCCCCATATAAATAAGTAATTATCTTTTAAAGAATGAAATAGAAATTTTATTCATTTGAAAGTAATTTTTTCTAAAATTTACCTGCCAACTTGCACACACAGGTCTCCTCTTATAGTACCCGGAGCAGATTCCATAGGATTTGTAGCACCAATTATATCTCTAGCTGTTTTAACTATATTCAATCCTTCCCACACCTGAAAAAATTCCAATATTCTGCTTCTAATAAAGTTCTATTAAAACAATAAAATGTATAAATAAAAAATAGTATTGAAATTGTAATGGAATTAAATTTATAGAAACACTAAAATAACGCTGCTTAACACATTGCTGACTGGTCACGAGTTAACTCGTGTTTCTGTTATCAGTGATCTCGTGGCGACTATTTTAAAAAGGGGGCGTAATTGTCCTTACTTTTCAAGTTTTACTATTAAATTCTATACCAATTTATTATAACTTTACGAAACCTGATATACTTGTAAAATTTGTGGTGTACCATTACGCATGGTGATTGTTAACTTTTCATCAAACGGCATTAAAAATTTTTAAAGTTTATTTATATTGTTTTACTTCCACATCCGCTTTCAAAACAATAGCCGGGCACATGGGGTAATTTTCAGAAATGTTGCCGGTCAGCAATGTATTAAAAATATCTCATTTCAGTCTGAGGGATATCAAGGATTTTTTTCAAAGGAAAAAAGGATCCAAGGAAAAAAGTAAAAGGGACTTTCTGTGTATCGAACATAAAATGACTTTCTTTGAAAAAATATTCTTTTTTTAAGTGATTGAATTCAAATTTAATGGAAAATACTCAAAGTAATAAAATTGAAAAGTTTTAAAAACTGTATGATATAAAAAATAAAAAAAATTTCAGCCTTTAAATGCATCATCCTTTCATTAATTATATTGTATAAAAATATTTTAGATTTAATAATCTTTAAAAAAAATTCAACTGGTTTAATTCAATTGGTTAATGATAAAAAATTAGTTGATTTATATCAATGATTTAATCATGCTAATGCTGATGGCAATGGTACTTATGCTGTTAAGTATGGTAAAGAAAAGAAAAGTAAAGTTTTAAGTATGGTAAAGAAAAAAAAAAATTCAGCTCCCCCCTTTTTAAAAAATCCATGTTTTTTTTTTTCAAGGTATAGCACAAAATGGATTTTGTATACCTAGGTATTGACTGTATCAGCTCTTTATGGATTTTATGTTCCTTCAAACTCTCTATGGATTTGTGTTATTGTTTGATTCTTGTTATAGTTCTGAGTAACATAGAATTCGGTTTTACTACAATGTAAAATATTGAAATAAACTACAGTTGATTTTCTATATTTAAGAATTTTATTAAATTTATTTACTCTTCCCAAATTGTTACTTTTCAGTTTTCATCTATTTAAAAACGATGTATTAAATAGCCTGGACAAAAACAATATTATTTAAATTAGGCAGCAATTACTATAAAAACTTTAAAAAATCTTTTTCGAAACGGACATTTCTTTCAGGTAATTTTTTTCTTTCATTGTCTTGGTGTCACCCAAACCATTATTTAATTTTGGAAGGAGCTTGACGCTCCCGATTTCTGCATAACAAGTTTCTAATTTTCGATTCTATGAGTATATTTAAAATAAATACATAATTAATAAATATTTAAGACAAAATTTTAAGAATAGCTCGTATTACAAATGTAATTTAATAAGAGCTTTACAAAACTAACAAATTTATTATATTAAAATAGAACCATAAATATAATCTATGACAATTATCTTCTTTTCTTTATTAATATCAATGAATAAACAGAGTTCAATAATTGAGACCTAAATTTAAACGTAAATAATTAGTGAAATTTAATTCCACATACTATACACATTTGATATGCAAAAAATCATGAAGTCAATAAATAAAATAATAAAAATAAAAACAATACTACAAAAGCAGTACCATTGGAACAACAGGTCCAAGTTGCATATAATTGACTAAGCCTGGGAAAAAAGGCCGCCCAGCTAACTCAGCATAATGTTGTTCAAGAAGTGTTTGTGAAGCCTGTAAAATAAAAATATAAATTACATTATACTTTGATGCCTAAAATAAATAAATAGACAAGTTCTTAGGTTTATAAATAACTCAGAGGAAACTTTGAAATACCAATATCTAAAGTTATCAATAGTCGTCTTCAGAGAGAAACTTCCATCTTTTCATTCTACTTTAAATAAATTAGCATAAACTCTGCAATCAAAGTAATAAAATTTTCTCAGAATTAAGCCCAGTGATCACTGCCCACACAAATACTCAGAGATCTCCAGAGTAAAATACAAAATGTTTCACAAAAAGTCTTATTTAAAACAGTATTGTTTAATTACATATTTTTAAATACAATAAAAAATTTTTAAACTTTTATTTAATTGTATAACAAATTCACATATTCAACTTAAAATTTATAGGATATATTAGTATTTATAAGAGAGATACACTTGTTAATTTTATAACTCCAGATATGAATTTTGTAACTCCAGATATGAATTAATTTTGAAAATTTATGATAGTTATAAGTTTGATTTGAACTAAAAGAAATAATAGCTTATTAGTATAAATACAAATAATAAAATTGTTAATTAGAAATTTCTATTAAAAATTTATTGACGACAAGATAAATAAATGACAGTTCCTCTGGAAAGTCTTAAGATAATGATTTCATAAAAAAAAAGTTTTAAAAACTTTAACAGATTGAAACACTAGCGGTAAGGTTTTGTGTGGTCCCTATACTGTTAATACTCTGAGAATTTCCGAGTTGATTGGTAATTTCTTGGAAATTAAGGTTTTTCCAGTTTGCATTTTGAAATACAGATAAATGTAGAAAAATATTTTTCTGTTTTCAAAGAGGGAGATATATGATAGCTTAGAACAGGCTCATCGGTGTATAGAGGTGAAGGGTACCAGCAGAAAACTCTTTGGTTTAATGTCCCTGAAAAATGAGTAATAATCCCCAGAAGGGATAGATAAAAAATAATTTAGACATTGGAAAAACATATTTTATTAAAAAACCAAATCTATTTATATTAATTCATTGTTAACATTCAAGTAGAAATTACTATACCGTAAAAAGTTATTTCCAATCATGATCTATCTCTTATTTATTTCAATGACATAAAAATAAATAGTTAAATTTGCTTGAAAAACATTACATTTATCATAAAATATTTTTGGTAAGCCAGTGATTTTGTTTTCATGCTAAATTGCTGCAAATATAGCAAAAAGCATAGATGGGATGTGAAAGAAAGTTATAATGCATAATTTTTTTTCAGGGCTATGAACAAAATCAGCACATGTTAATTTTGTTGTTCTAAGGCTAAATTAAATTAAATAATTTTTTTAAACAAAAACAAAATTTTTGTTCTCCGTTTCCTTGCATTGACAGCAGAAGAAAATCAAATTGCATGAGTGCTCACTTGGTGCAGGAGTTTAATCAATCGTAATTAAGAGCTTTGATTCTTCGTTCTAGTTATAAATATTTTGTTTGTCAATCAAAAAAGACAAATATATAAATGTGTATATTAATAGATGGAAGAAGTGGGAAATTTATCTCTTCAATATCACTTCTTGTTTTTCACCAGGGAGACTTTCATCTTTCCCTTCTCCAAATTTTGTTCTAATTTTTCATGTATTCTTTATAGCGTAAGTTAATTTATTTTCATGCAGAATTTTGAAAATTTTATATTACCTAGTAATTAGTTAATTCTTTAAAAATTTTACTTTTAATGCATTAGAGACTTAAAAAGCTAGTTGAAATCAAGAATATTTCTCTTTTTTTTGTACTGTTATAGAATATTCGCTGTTTAGTAATAAATTATACTGGCTTAAAACTTAACAAAACCCATTCTCTAATAAAATAATTGATCTAAAAAAAACCAACTTACTTTGAATACAACAGATAAAAGTGTTAATACCTAAATCAAGATTTGATCTTTTATCACATAATCTGTTGGAATTTACCTATGAAATTTTGTGTGAAATAAATTGTACATAACTAAGACGCTTATTGCGTAAAAAAATTAAAAATTTTAGTGATTGATGCTTGTTAACAATTAAAACTTTCATTGTTTTTTTTAAATATTTTTTATAGGAATTACAGTTTTTAAATATTTGTATTAAATCTAAAATTAAGCTATAGCTGCCTGATGTCATTTACTCCTTTTTAATTTTTTTTAAATATATACTAGTACCAAACTACTCAAATTCAATGACAATGGTTTTATCCTTCCCTTAGAGAAAGATTAGTGATCAAACTAGCATTATATATTATATATATTATGCTGATTTGAAAAGAAAAATGTAACTTTTACTAGCCATGGAAAAATATTTCCAGATTTTAAAATTTAGAAGGCAACTGATATAAAAATTTTAGTTTTAATTCCTTGTAAAAGTATAGCAAAATTGCTAATTGAATTTTTATTTTTCTTCTAATTTCAAAATATTTACTTTTCATGTAAATCTTTAACAAAAGGATTAACATTTTAATATGAACTCACTTTAAGCAAAAAAGGACACAGGAATTTAGAAGTCCTATCTCCGAAGAACATGTACTTTCTTCCTAAGTCTAGCGGAATCATTGTTTACCTATTAGAAAGATCATTCCAAAAGAAAAATAATGGAGATTTAAAGTTTTAATAAATAATTTATAATTACGGAATTGTAAGTATCTTGCTTACTATCAAATACAATTTATTATTAATTTTCAACTTAAAGTAGATTAAGGTGCGAGGTTTCCCTAGTAGTCATAGATTTTTTGGTGATATTTAGACAGAGGCATACAAAAAACAAAACAGCAGACAAAAAGATGAATTTAGAGAGAATAGCTTGTAGTCTGTCTGAAGAAATTGCTACACACCATTTTTTCCAAAGTTTTTGGTTGCACACAAACTGCTTGATTTCTTGGTGATTATAGTAGGCAAAAACAGGAAAGAATATGGAACTGCTCAATGTGCCTCTTCATAATTTTTTGGAGTAGAAAAGGGAAGAAAATAGTTGCCAACCAATTTCATTATTTGGTGATTACTTTACAATGAATGACAAAACAAAATAAAACAGAAATCAGGCCTAAAGCAACTTTAGGTAATGACACATAGACTTCAATGAATAAAGATTCAAATAATTTTTTAAAGAAAACATTCAGACAATTCAAATAAACAAATCGCGAGGGAGATATAGAAACGGCAGTGAACTTGACCATCTAATTAGACAAGAATATTGTCTTTGATTAACAAAATCTGATACTTCACATTGATCTTACAGACAGAACAAATGAAAATATACGGTTGAAAAAAATCTGAAATTTGAAAACAATGAACAAATGTTTCAATCCCAAAAGAGGTAACTAGATGATTTAACAAAATATGTAACCATAATGGAAATTACCAACTGGAAAGCCAAGGCCAACTACAGTAGCCAAGACACAAAATGAATTTTAAATTTGCAAGCTTTAACAAGGTTTATACTTAAAAAGAAATTTTCTCCCTGACTTTTCCAGGTGAGTTACGTAAAATTCCAGGATATCTTTAAAAAAAATAAAAAATCAAAATTTACATTTATTAAAAATGTAACTTAAAATTATAAATAAAATTGCAATTCTAAAGAGACAGTAATAAGCTATTTTTTATTTTAAAAAAAATTAGGAGACTTAAATAATGTCAACTCTGATTAGAAATAATAAATTGTCAAAAAACTATAAACTTGACTGAAAGATAAAATAAGACTAAGGGAATTTACTGTGCAATATAAATTTTTTTCTTCTGCCGAACAGAAAAAATATTATAAGAGCAGCCAATTTTATATTTATAAAAGCAGACTATTTTTAACGAAAGCATATGTGATTCCACATCAGGTAAAATTTGCAAATGATAGCACACCTCTGAGGAAGCAGAATTCATACAATTAAAAAATATTGTTTCTTTAATAGATAACCAAAACAATAAAAATAGCAAAAGATAAAAAAACATTTCTCTTCATTAACTACTGCATTTTCTGAAATTATAAAACAATATGTCATAATGAATAAAGGATAACAAAAATTGAGAAACAAAAGAAAAAAACCTAACATGTCAATATTCTCTAAGCTAAGTTTCAATTGCCTAACTCTGACACCCAACTGACAAACTACAGAAATGTCTTAGAATAGAATCTGTAAAATCTTAAGAATAATAAATATCTGATATTTTTTTTTTTAAATCCTCTATTGCACATGCAAAAATTACGGTTGAAAACAGAAGAGTGAAGTACTCACAATTTGATAGGGTAACTAGTTCCCTCATTTGTTTGGAATCTCACTTTATCTGACTATTTCCGGTTTTCCCAATATTCCTGGTGCGTACAAACGCAGCTTAAAAATAAATGAAATATGTAGAGGTTTGCAAGAGGGTGTCTAAGAGTAATATTTTTTTAATTTGGTCTTTTACTTGCACTGAATTTTTAAAAAAAGTTTACTGCCAACGTTAGCAATTACTTTAGTGCAGATTTCGATAAGGAAATCTTCCCCATAAAATAATAATAGAATGATACAATTACAATTCCAATTTGGCTAATGTATATTTGAAATTATTTCTGTTTACATCTTTGCTGTTTGAAGAGATTAATGAAAATTATAAATTTTTTTAGAAAAGTCAAATTTTATACTTTTGGAAACATAATTTTAACTTTGTGATATGGCTCTTTTGGTTAGAAGGTTGAGGGCTACTGCCACCTTACCTTGGTTACTTAATTTTTAAAATACAAACTAGAATTACACATACACATAATTTACATCAATATAAAAGAAACAAATTTTTTTTTTTAACTACTACATAATTTCTAAAGTAATAATTGGTTGTGCTACAATAAAAGACCTTTAAGTTTTAATTTACCAATTCTTCCATAAATAATTCAATTTCTATAATAGAGAGATTATACTCTATGTTGAGTTCTTTTAGATTATGCCATTAACAGCTGCGGAGGAACAACAACATAGAGAAAGAAGAAAACTCCATAAAAATAAAGAATAATGCAAGAACAAGGATCATGATAGATATCATACAACAAAAAGATTGGCAAGTGATATATGTCAGCAAGAGAACATAGATTAGCAAGAAAAAAATGGTGTACAACGAAAGCAGAACAAAGACAGCACATAAAGCAAAACAGTCACCACTTTTAACTTAAAATATATTTTAAAAAAAGAGTAACCTGACAGAGACAAGAAAAAAAAAATGAGATGGGATAGAACTATAAGGAAAACATAAATCTTAAANAAAAAAAAAAAAAAAAAAAAAAAAAAAAAAAAAAAAAAAAAAAAAAAAAAGAAGCTGAGGGTAGGAAAAGAGTATACACCAAAGATAGCTAACAGACTCTGGGATTGTAATTTAACTTCACGCTCTAAAACTAAATTTATGAGAAAGATTTTCCTGGTATTGCACGCCATTGTAGTACAAAAGGTCTGAGAAAGAAACAAGAAAAATTTTTTAAGGAATATTGTGACAAAAAAGGTGATAAAGTATAGGTTGAGAAAAAAATGTTTCAGAAGCTTTAGGCTTTAAATCTAAAATTCGCAAATCCATTCAGCAAAAAATAAATAAATGTAGGGTGACCTGGGGTAATTCCTGATCAAAAAATGCAAACATCTATTTTGTAAGAAAACTTTTCAGGATAGAATTATAATATTTACTGGACGTTAGAGGCTATATGAGATGAGTCCTAGGCTACCTTGATTTGTTTGAAAATCTAATTAGAATTTAAAATATTTTAAATTTTCACTGATCAGGAATTACCCCTTCTCTTGATCCTTTCTGGGGTAATTCCTGAACACCAGTTTTAATCATAAAGGGGCTGTTTAAAAATAATTATACAGTGGTAATTAACAAATAAGACATCAAGATCAAACAAATGAACCAAAAATATATGTTTAAGCAGCCAATAAAACAATTTATTTAAAAAGCAAAAATAAAGGTTAGCACTTTAAATTTTCCAAAAATCTTTGTATCATGCCATGTATTTTAGGCAAGCAGCCAACTCATTCTCATGTTCTGCTGGAATATAAGAAAGAGTTTCCACATGGGTTACTTTTACTGGATTTTGTAACTTCATTAAGGGAGAATGTAAAGTTAAGTAAGGTATGTCAACAGCTCTCACACTGAAATTTTCATTTTCAATCATTAAAAGAAATTTATTAATTAAGAAACTTTAATTACTAGAACTAATTTTGATTTCTAGAACCTTAGTATCCTTTTTAGGCTTATAATTTCTCACCATATTTATATTAGACTAATTTATAAACTTAAAAATTATTCTAACAATGTACACACATAAAATTAAGATAGAAGCAAGGTATGACAAATTGGAACACATTTGTCTAGCATACGGTTAAAAACAAATTTTGTGATTAAATTGAGTTAAAATATATTTTAAAGTCGTTTCACTTGATAAATATGAACTGTTACTTAAGAAAAGACAATTAGCTACTTATTAGCTTATTTTAATACTATTTATGAAAAGAAATGACAATGATCAGGAATTACCCCAGTGATCAATAATGACCCCATCTGTAGGGGGCAACATTTGATATAGTTTCCTATAATCAATTAGGTATAATGTTTACAGTAGATGTGAAACAATTAAACAAGAGCTTACACTATTTTCATATCAAAGAAAAAGAAAGTAACTCAAAATATTTATTATTAAGAGAAGGAGGGAGATCTTTGCAGAAATGTGCACTTTTTGAAACCCATCTCTGAAATGGAAAATACAGAAAGCAGTTTAAAAGATACTTATTTTGTTAGATTAAACAAAAAACTATTATTAAGTAAATGTAGTTATACCTTAGTAAAGTGTACAAGCATTCTTGTCCATGTCTCAAATTTAGAAAAAAATTATTTTCTTAAAATAAAACTTAGGTGATCATTATTTACCCCAGAAACAGAGTGATCGTGAATTACCCAGGGTCACCCTATTAATAAAAAATTTTCATATAAGAGATAACATCTGAATAGAGCAACTGCTGGAAAGAAGGAAACTGTAACAAAGTAATCAGAAAAAAAATCAGATGAGTTACCAAATAGATCTGATGAAAAACTTGCATGAAAAGTGCCTTGAAGGTGGAAAGTGTATTTATGTTTTTTTTTTTGCCGCAAATCAAACCATCCCTTTTATGTTATGCTACTTTTAGTTGGCACACGAAATACATGGCTATGCAAATTGCACAGTAATGTAAAATTTAAAAGTGAGAAGATATAGAATTTTCTATCAATTCAATGGTCCAGTTGATGTTAATGAAAAATAAAAAATACCACGCTTCAAATTGTTCAAATCTTGGTGTTAAATATGTATGCCCACTTTGTTACTACAATAACAAGAAATATTCAACGTCTTCAATAGGTATCAAAAATATATTCTTCAAATTTCCCATATCAATGTATTTTTAATGAAATTATGCTAACTTTTAAGTTTTAAAAATATTAAAATAGTAACACAGGAGACAGAATTTGCAATTAATGACAAATGTACATACATAAATAAGAAAACATTATTAGTAGAAAAGAAGTTTCACTGCTAAGTGTTACCAGGGCAAAATTCCTTATTCATTTTTCTATCTAAAAACAGGATGATAAGTTTAAATTTTGGTAACACGGATGACATTTTTCAGTCTATGCAATTAAGTTTTAAAGTATAGTGATTAATAATTTTTTAAGAGTTTGCTGCTAAAACTTTATTTTGATTAAGTAATTAACCAGCCTAGTGAACTGTATTTTTGGAATGACCCATATATGTTTCAGAACAAGGTAAAAGAATTCACGAAAGCATTTTCATTTCTATCAACTCATGTTTTGCCTACAATTACTCTAGAGACACATTTTGCTATATTGTAAGCGAACAAAGCAAAATGCAGCACATTTCTCGTAAGAAACTTATCAGTGTTTTAAAATGATATCGAAATTTCAGTTATACTATTAAAAAATACAAATAAATAGGCCCAATTATCTAAAATGAAATAAAAAAAAAAAAAAACAATTACAGAGCGACAATGTCAAAGAATATACCTGTACAAACTTCATTCCAACCAATTTGAAACCTTTATTTTCAAACCTGGATATTATTTTTCCAATTAAACCTCTTTGCACTCCGTCAGGCTTAATCATAACAAAAGTTCTTTCTCGATGGGCCATAGCACAAACCAAACTGTCAGTACAACTTTCAGTTGTGACCTTTATTGGACAATATTGGCTAGCAACGGAGGAACAAAGTGATGATAAGGATGTGAAAGTTATACAATAACATTGTAAAAATAATCGAATCTTAAATGACATTTTCGATTACGATGATGATGATGATGACGATTGGTGGGCGTTTCTGGAACTGAGCTCTTTGCAGTATTTCGCTTCTAGCTCGCTTATCGTAAAGTGAGAGATAGGATGAAGTTTACAGAATGGTTGGTGCTTTCTACACTAGGGAACGCTGCAAGCTCTATACCGCCTATACTTCCGTGTTACTGTCTCCGGTGTATTTTAAAGCCATTTGGCTCACAACGTGATCATTGTGTTTTAAGATTCTTGCAAACGTGGTATTTGATTACTTATTAATTGTGTTTACAATGCTAACAATACTCGTGTTTACAATGATAAAGGTGCTAACACTAACGTAAGATGGTGCACAGCTTGCAACAAGAACAAACAGTAATAAACATAAGGAAAGAGGCCAAATCAGGACTGCAAAAAAAGCGAGCTATTCAAAATCTAGCACTATGCCACCTTTTTGAACAATATATCTATAAATAACTGAAACAAATTTTCACTTCAAACTCACCAGAATTACTTAATAGCATTAATATCTTATGAAATACGGCAGATTTGAGCTCAGAAATTATCTTATTCATTTCTTTTATTGAAAACAAAATTATCCGTTTGAAAATATCGCCTCGCAGAAGTAAGCCGTTGCAAACTTTCTAACCGGAACAAGAGCGGGTATAGAACTCGGGATTGTTATTGTTTACATTTATATTGAAAACACCATCCATATGAATAGCTTTTAAGAATCGAAAAAATGATTGAAGCTTGTGACTGTCTGATATATCCAAGAGTGATGAGCTGCTGTTCATTTACGTCGCACTGGAGCTTCACAATGGGCTATTGGGAAGCACCCCATAGGATGATCCGAAGACTTGCCATCACATTTTTGATCCTCTGCAGAGGGGATGGCAGATGGCACCCCCGCTTCGGTAGCCCGACGAGCATGAGTGATGAGAAAGACAGAGCCCCGATGCCAAGTTGTCTTCGGAGTATGGAGCGCTGTTGATCCAAAAGTGGACACATGAGTATGATGTGATCAATATCAGCTGGTGTACCGCGTCAACATTTGTTATCTGTGGCGAGGCCAAAATGGGAGAGCTTTTGTTATGTATTTTCTTTCTCAAATTCGAGAAAAGTCGTCTTGATGTCTGCAGGAGAGAGAAAGACGGTGTTCTTTAATAATAAGGGCCATATGTGGAAAGTCTGCATAGTATTTGCTGTTTTCAAAGGCAAATAGTCCAGTCTGTTGATACTATTCTTTAATCACGCGGTATTAGTCTTCTGGAGTAAATTTGTTATAGATTATAGGTTTGGCTAGCGTCGCTTGGGCCATCTTGTCTGCTATTTCGCTGCGAGAATCACGGCGTGATCAGGAACCTACGCTAGTTCTATTGATTGACTGTTGAGAATGTTTAAAGAAGATAAAATAATGTAAATGATTCCTTGTGAGGAAACAGTGGCGGATCCGAGTGCTGTCAGGACTGAGAGTTAATCGGATAAAAGCAACATGTTGGGAGTTTGAGTGACATCCTTGAATCGCCAGTAGGATAGCGACTCCCTTCATCTGTGACAGAGTTGGCCGTTGATTACAGTAATCGATTACAACTGTAATTGATTACAGATAATTACAGCTATGTAATCAATTACTTGTAATCACGATTACAAGTAATCAATTACTTGTCATCGTGATTACAACTTTCAAAAAATTTTAATTGCAGCTGTAATCATGATTACAATTTTGATTACAGTAATCAATTACTTGTAATCATGATTACAAGTAATTGCGATTACAAGTAATCACAACAAAAACGATTACAAGTAATTATGATTACAAGTAATCAAAATATATGATTACATGTAATCACGATTACATGTAATTTGATTACATGTAATTGTGATTTCTTGTTATCAAACTATTCGATTGCAAGTTATTACGATTGTATACTATAGTCAAATTTTTTATGTAAGTATTCATGTGTTTACATATTTTTATGTACATAGAATGTACGCACGCATGAACGTACAATTTGCGATTCCTATATATACAATATATGCACAAACGTTGTTTGTACGTACAATATTCATAATTATATTGTAATATACTTAATGCAATGCGCATATGCTTAGTACATATAATTATGCATTTATGATACATGTACGCATGTATGTTAGTTTGTACAAAAAGGCAATGTTTTGTATCTTTGTATACATAGACAATGTATGTATGAACGTATATGAAAATAATGTTTATGCGTTTGCATGCTTTTATGTACTTAAGTGCATATATTGTATAAATTTACGATAATAGCACGTATATACAATGTACGTTTGTATATAAAATTGTACGTATTTGCGTACAATATGTAAAAATGTTATTTAAAGGTACAATATATGCACATAGTTGCGTAAATAAAATGCGTACATGTATACATGCATATTTATATGTACATCGATATATGTGCACGCAAAGTATGTACTTATGTACAACTTACGTATGTACTTGTATAACTACATACTTTGTTAATACTTATGCGCATGTAATGCATGGATGTACAAAAAAATAGTTATATGCACAATGTATGCATGTGCATACAACGTATACATGTACATAATTACAAGTAATGTACAAATACGTGCGTACATTTAAATATATGTAATTACAATATACACATACATTGTGCATACATTAAAAAAATTTATATGAGTAAAGTTATTAAAATTTGTTTTAAAATTATTCTAAGGTATATGAAACTCGACCTCATATTTTTTAGAAAGCAAACGATAATTTTATTTGGAATTTCTAAATATTAATTCCACACATAAAATTTACCGTTTTTCTTACCATTTAAAAAATTTCTATGAATCATGCATTATGTTATAAAAAAAATAAATCTGTATTGTCAAACATTTCATGAAAATACCTGAAAATAATTTTTTATTCAGAGAATTTCAAAATGATATAGAACAATTAAAGCTGAAAACTAAATTTAAATATCGTTTGATTTTGTCATTTAACTTGCTTGAGTCATTAAAAGTTAACTTACATGCATTTTATTTATTGCATTGTACACATATTTAGACATAAATGTAATGTACATATGTATACGTGTAATGTATGTACGCATGTACAATGTATGTACATACATTCATGTATTGTACGTGCATATATAGTACATATGGATATGCATACATGGAACATACGTGTATTGTACATGTGTGGATACATTCATTGTACATATATACATTGCACCATATGCATAGATAGGGATAGCATGCATGTACACATGTAAAATTTGTACGAAAGAATTATGCCCAATATATTTATGCACATATGTACTGTATATGTACACACATATGTACATTATATGAACATTATATGTTCATTTCATCATATGTACATTATATGAATATACATCTGTACGCTATATGTATATACATCTGTACAATATATGCATCTCAAATGTGTGTATGTACGTACGTTATGCATGTCGAATGTATGTATGAATATATGTAAAATATAAATACGCCCAATGTACGTACAATCGTACACAAATGTATTATGCATATTTGGATACATACATTGAGCATGAACATATTATGTATATGTACATAAATACACTGGGCATGCATATCATGCACATGTATACATACATGTATTGTACATCCTACAGATATACCTATATTGTACATGCATACATATATTATACTGTTCATAAATAAATTGCACATGCATGCATGGGACATACATAGCAACGCAAGTACTTGTACAAACGCAAGTACTTGCGTTGCAATGTATGTAATCAAACCCCTGTAATCAAACTTTGTAATCATGATTACAAGTAATTGATTACTGTAATTAATATTGTAATCATGATTACAGCTGTAATCAAAATTTTTGAAAATTGTAATCATGATTACAAGTAATTGATTACTGTAATCAAAAAATGTAATCGATTACATTTTTGGCCAACTCTGATCTGTGAATATTGAGCAAATGGAAGGGTCTGATCCAGACAGTGCAGAATCGGAGCGGGAATTGTAAATTACCACTCCAGTCTTGTCTACACCCGGGAAGCATCTGTGTAAAGTAGAGTGCGGTAAGGGCAGCGTTTGAGGACAAAATCGCAGAAGATAGCTTCGTGTTTGATGGTAGCTTCTTATCTTGGAATGAGAGGTTTGACAGATGTGTGTATGCGGACTTTTGAAGGCAACTGAAGAGTTTCGTGGGGCATATGAATCATGTGATCGATGTTGATTAAGGCAGTTCATTGTTTTGAGGGGGAGAGCTGATTTCCTATGTGTATTCGGGTGGTATGGTATGGTGGATACGGTATGTTATCGCATTTAATGTTTGGTAGTTGACCAGCCGGACATAAAAACACATAAAAAGCATATTGTGGCGTTCTTGAAGGCTCAGACAACCCGCTTCTTGATAAAGAAGCTGTAATGGTGCCCACTTTGGAGCTCTTTGCAAAACGTAGTGCTGCACGGTACGCCGCGTATAATATCTTTCGCTCACTGTTGCTAGAAAGGGATAATGAAGGTGGCAATCACAGTCGAGAGTGGGCGGTATATAGAGGACGGATTGATGCGAAGTAAGTGGTAGCAGAGTGAGCCCCAAAAATTTCTTGCTATATATGTGGAACAGTGTATTGAGCTCTTTCAGCATAGATGCTTGTTTTTGTTGGAAATGGAAGGAGATAGCTGAGATATTAGATGAAACATTAGTACCTAAACTGTGGATATGGGATGCACATTTCAGTGTTTCTCCTTGAAAAAGAAGGGCGGGTGAAGGTTCGATCTGACGGTGAGAGAAGTCAATTGCGCGACATTTGCTTAGGTCAACCGTTAGATGCATTTGCACTAGCCACTTCTGGAGACGTAGTAGAATTAACTGTAATTTCCGAAGCACATAGTGCAAGCTATGGGAGTAAATAAGAAAAGTGCTGTCTGAATACACAAAACAGATGACACCGTTTGGAAGAATATTAAACATATCGTACATGTAAATGAAGAAAAGGAGAGGTGACAGAACTTATTCCTATGGAGCACCCCTGATGCCACTAAACGCCTTTGAGTACGCATGCCCTCACCGCACAATTTAGCGCAGTACGCTTTAGATTCCTTTTTGATTATAAACCGAAGGATAGCAGCAGTTCGTTTATTATTGATCCGCAGTGCAGGATCGCTTCAACGTTTAGCCTACTTCCTTTTTCGCTTTTTCTTGCCTAGAAGGTAAAAAAGATATGAGGGCTACCAAGGTGGAAAATTTGTCTTTGGGAATCTTTGCTAACTGTGGTTCACGAGCAGGGTATTATTGCAAGTCGATGTAAATTAGCCATGTATTTGGAAAGTTTGACTCTAATTCTTTAACTTTAAATTAATATCAAATATCATTATCATTAAAAAGATTATAAAAAATTAATAAAGTATTCGCCAAATAATCTCATCAAATGCAGCTATTAATATTATAACTTTTAACCCTTGCATTCGGCTCAGTTTATATACTTTCCGGTCCTGAAATACAATGATTTTTAAGTTACTTTTAGTTTAGTATTTGAGTAATTTTTTCACCACTAAATATCAAAAATTATAAGTATGATATGAAATGCAACGTTAAAGCATCAATCTACTGGTTATCATATTAAAAAGTAGGCGTTACTATCTTCCTTCAACGAATTTTTCTATACATATAATTTGCGAAATTCCCCGCAGTGGACAGATCGTTAAGACACGGTTCCCAGCAGATCACCGAAGTCAAGCATCACTAGCTGCGGTCAGTGTGCGGGTGGGTGACCACTTGGATCAGTCTGCGTAGGAACCGAGAGTGTGCGGTATTGGTCCTCGTTAAACTGTTCTACCGTAAAGTGCTCGACTTCGCGTGCAGGTCGTCGGGCTACCGAAGAGGGTGTGCCATCCTTCCTGCAGAGGATCAAAATTGTGATGGCATGTCTTCGGATCATCATGAGGGATGTTTCCTAGACCGTCGCAAATAGCCCATTGTGCAGCTCAAGTGCGACGTAAATGAACTACAAGAAGAACACGAAATTCCCGGACCCTCTAGTGCCACCTAGTAGCGAAAATAAGCATCAGATGATGGCTTTTGATGATGATCGTACACGGGGAAATGGCGGTTTCCGCATTGAAATCAGGGGAAAAATTTCCTCGCCCGCGATTCTCACGTGACCCGTAGTGGGGGACGAAACAGATATCCCGCTCAAATCGCGGGAGCCGTACGCGGAGGGTTAACTAAACAAGGAAATTAATAAATAAAGTATCCGCCTAATGATCTCCTCAAATGCAGTTATTAATATTATCACTTTTATCTTAACAAGGAAATGCGTGATAAGGAAATCAATAGTAGAACAATTTAAATGTAGGGCTACTCAAACTTTCACAAAATGTCTCATATTATATTCACATTATTGGCGGTTTTAGCAGCACCTATAATCTCAAGTGACTAAGACAAATAAATTTTGTTTACAAATGTTCCACGTATGACTGGTAGCATATGGAGCTGTTTTTGGAAAGTTTGACACTCATTCTTTAATTTGAAATTAATATCAGAAATCTATAACAAAAAATTGTAAAAAAATGATAAAGTGTCTGCCAAATGATCTCCTCAAATGCAGCTATTAATGATATAACTTTTAACTAAACAAGGAACACGTCATTGGGAAATCGAAAGTAGAACCCTTTAAATGTAGAGCTACGCAGACTAACAAACTGCCTCATATTATTTTTGTATTATTGGCGGTTTTAGCGCCACATACCATCTCAAGCTACTATGACAAAATAATTTTTTCTTTGCAAATATTCTATAAATGATAAGCAGCATATGTAGGTGTTTTTGGAAAGTTTGACGCTTACTCTTTAACTTGAAATTAATAGCAAAAATCTATCTCATGCCAAAAGATTATAAAAAACTAATAAAGTGTCCGCCAAATGATCTCCTCAAATGCAGTTATTATTGATATAACTTTTAAGTAAACAAGGAAATACCTGATAGGGAACTCGAGAGTAGAACCCTTTGTTGTTGTTTTTTAGTTCATTTACGTTGCACTAGAGCTGCACAATGGGCTATTGGAGACGGTCTGGGAAACATCCTTGAGGATGATCCGAAGACAAGCCATCACAATTTTGATCCTCTGTAGAGAATGGTACCCCCCGCTTCGGTAGCCCAACGACCTGCACGCGAAGTCGAGAACTTTGCGGTATAACGGTAGAACAGTTTAACGAGGATCAATACCACACACTCTCGGTCCTACGCAGACTGATCCAAGTAGTCATACGCTCGAACACTGACCACAGCCAGTGATGCTTGATTTCGGTGATCTGTTGGGAACCATGTTTTAACGATCAGTCCTCGGCAGGACGGTAGAAACCTTTAATTGTAGAGCTGCGCAGACTTTAACAAACTGCTTCATATTATATTTGCATTATTGGTGGTTAAAGTGCCACCTACCATCTCAAGTGACTAGGATAAAAAAATTTTTTTTTTTGAAAATGTTCTGTAAATGTTTGGTAGCATATACTTGTGTTTTTGGAAAGTTTGACGCCCATTCTTTAACTTGAAATTAATATCAAATATCTATCTCATACCAAAAAATTATAAAAAATTGATAAAGTGTCTGCCGAATGATCTCCTCAAATACAACTTTTAATACTATAACTTTTAGCTAAACAATGAAATAAATGATAGGGAAATCGAGAGTAGAACCTTTTAAATGAAGAGCTCCGCAGACTTTAACAAACTGCCTCATATTATTTTTGCATTATTTGTTTTTTTAGTGCCACTTATCATCTCAAGTGACGAGGACAAAATAAATTTTTTTTTCAAATGTTCTATAAATGATTGGCAGCATATGTTGTTGTTTTTGGAAAGTTTGACGCTCATTCTTTAACTTGAAATTAATTTAAAAAATCTATCCCATTCCAAAAACACCTCCTGTTTCTGCAAAACATTTATAAGACATTTGCAATAAAAATTTATTTTGTCCTAGTCACTTCAGATGATAGATGGCACTAAAACAGCAAATAATGCAAAAAATAATATGAGGCAGTTTGTTAAAGTCTGCGTAGCAATACATTTAAAGGTTCTACTCTCAATTTTCCTATCACGCACTTCCCTGTTTAGTTAAAAGTGATAATATTAATAGCTGCATTTGAGGAGTTCATTTGGCGAACAGTTTATTAATTTTTTATAATATTTTGTTATGAGATAGTTTTTTGATATTAATTTCAGGTTAAAGAATGAGCATTAAACTTTCCATAAACACCTACATATGCTGCCAATCATTTATAGAGCATTTGCACAAAATAATAATAATAATATTTTGACCTAGTCACTTGAGATGGTAGGTGGAGCTAAAACTGCCAATAATGCAAATATAGTATGAGGCAGTTTGTTAAGGTCAGCGTAGCCCTACATTTAAAGGGTTCTACTCTCGATTTGCCTATCACGCATTTTCTCGTTTAGTTAATAACAATAATATGTCTGTCATATTATTAATAATAATAATATGTCTATGCGACTGTCTGGGAAACATCCCAGAGGTTGATCCGAAGACATATTTGAAACATGCATGTATGTTAAGAAATATTTATAGAAATTCTGCGAGAAATCTATCTAGTCTAAAACACGCTAAGTTCAGAGCATTTTATTATTATTTATATAATTATTTAATATTTTTCTTTTTTTTCACTTAAAAATCATTATTCGACCACTAATCGTATTTTTTGACATCATTTTTGACCGGAATTCGGACAATATACTAAAAGATCGGTGTAATAGGAATATGCTTTATACAGAGAAGTGTAGGTACAAAAGTATATTGGTACTAAAGTATACTGGTGCAAAACATACAAATATATATAAATAGTTCTTTAAGATGATAAAGGTTTACTTTACAATACAAAAGTATACAAGTAGTTCTTTTTTTCATAATATTAAAACAATTTCTTTTAAATATATTTCAATTGTAGAATACTCGTTGAAAATCTTTCTTCATTTTCATATTTATAGTTAATATTAAATGTGCTTAATAGATTTGAAATTTATAACTTTCACTTAAAACATTTTTGAAAATTCCTCTGAATTTAAATTAGATTCTATTTTTAATTTCATAAACAAAAAAAATAGAGTTCATTATTATATTTCTTAGGCATTTTGCAGTACGAATATTATGCTGCAAATAAAATTTGCTTCCTTTCTAAATCTACCTCATAAACTGTTTTTTCTTCCACTCTAGCATTATGTTAAATAATTAAAGTTTCATGGATAAACTGGTTTTTGTTTCTCTGTAAGACTTTGTTAAGTAATTGAAGTTACTTAAGTTGGACATTTAAAACCTTATTATTCAATTTATCAGATGGGATTCAATATATGAAGAATCCTTTCGAAATAATTTTCAAATTGCACATCATAATAATTTTCTTCACTTTCTTAAAGTCATGAAAAATATTTTTTTTTCTTTCTTTGAGCGAAAAACCGTCATTTGCGTATCTTAGCAACTATCTTTACAAGAGTAATAAAATTTTCGGTTTTTCGTATGATGAATCTAGAAATATTTTTATAGCGTTCTAAACTCAGATTGTTAAACTGAAGGCGATATAGATGAAATACTAAATAAGCGAAATGAATGAGTTACACACATTTGCATTTTTTCTCTTGATGTTAAGTATGTAGCATTTAATAAGGATAATTATTTTATATTTTAGTTTGATTTAAATAGCGACTAACTCGAATTTAGGATTTGTTCTATTCAAAAAGAAGAAGCTAATTAATTATAAAGAAATAAGATCAAAGCTTATTTCTTTATATTTATAAGTTTATCTCTTTATGTTTATAAGCTTATCTTTTTACATTTATAAGCTTATTTCTTTATATTTATAGACATATCTTTTTACATTTATAAGCTTATTTCTTTATATTTTGAAGTAGTTTTTATTAACTTATGAGCAACTATATGTGCACTATACGTAGTAATTTAAGTAAAGGATGAATTTAATTAGTTATAAAGAAATAAGATCGAAGCTTAATTCTTTATATTTATAAGCTTACTTCTTTATATTTATAAGCATATCTCTTCATATCGCATATTTTAGCATTTATAAACTTATTTCTTTATATTAATAAGCTTATTTCTCTACATTTTAAAGTAGTTTGTACTAACTTATGAACAACTCTATGTGCAGTACGCGTAGTAATTTATACTTTATGTATTCTTTCTATATTTAAATAGCATAAAAATATTTTTTAAACAATCAAAATTAATTTCTTGTTAAAAGTTAAACTGAAAAACATATCTACAGCTTTGATGTTTTGATATATTCTGAGTACTAATATTTAAATTGAATAATGTGTTTGAAATATCTATTTTAAGAATTTATGTTAGCGCTCAGTTTACAGAACATGTTGAAAAGTGTGCATTATTTTAAATTTTGTTTCTTAATATTATTATTTTTTATGAAAAAATAATGCTGAAATTAGTTTTTAAATTTCATCCATTAGTGTTTTTTCTAGTGTTAAGCTCGTAATATCTGCTTTAGTTTAATCTTCAATTCTTCATATTTTAGCTTGGTGAAAATAGCTAAACAAGCATGAGTTTTTTCGATGCTTTTGTTCGAAAAGTTTAAGTTTAATTAGTATAAAAGAACCCGACAGAAGTTTGAAAATCCTAAAACGTTTTTCAAGCAATCATATTAAATTTTTTCAATAAAAATTTAAACTGAACAAGATATCTTTGTGGCCTGAAATACCACTTTCTAAATGCGATAATTGTTTCGACATTTTGGTTCAGAACTCATAGCTAGTACAGTGTTTATAGTTGAGGTTAACAAGTGAAAATTTCTAAGCATAAATAATTTTTTTGAAATATTTGCTTCAGGATTTATAGTTAGTACATTGCTTACAGTTGAAGTTAAAAACTGTAAATTTCTGAAATTTTTTTTCAATATTCCTATCCTCCATTTCAAAAATGCTAAAATTCGCTTTTAAATTTTGTACATCTTTCAACTGATTGTTTAAAAACAAAATGTTATCTGAAACAAAATTTTATCTTTCACGTTTGATCACGTTTAAAAGTACTCTTTTTAATAACAACAGGGAATTCTTTTTTCTGTTTCATCAGATTTTTAGACGGATCTTAGATATTTTCATATCGCTGATATCAATTCCGTAATCAGTTTCTCTCGACAAGCTACAGTTTTTAAGCAATTTAATAATATATTCCTTATCCGATCTTTTTAAAATTTACTGGCATGAGTACTAAGGGACACCACTTCTCTGCTAAGTAGGGAGTGGTAGCAAGGAGATGATTGTACAATTCCGTTTTAAATGCGATATCATAAGGTCAAAGGAGCAAATCTAACTTGCATATTCAGACAAGAATAAACTAAAGAAAAATACCATTTTGAAAAAATTCTGCGACCTTTGGGACAAAATCGATCTCAGATTTGAAGTCCTCACTCCTGAATTAAATACGATCAAGTACTTGCTTTAATTCAGCAAGAAATTTGTTCCCTAGTGCAGTGTTTCCCAAAGTGTGGTACGCGTACCCCCAGGGCTACGGGAACAGTTTAACGGGGGTACGCGTTCTTATGCGAATTATCTGGCAATAAACAAAAATTTCAAAATTTTTCATTTAAAAGCAAAGCTAGCCATGAATATTTACGATTACGTATTTTTCTATTGGCTATTTTTTGCAGAGTTAACAGTTAATAATTAGTGGTGTCAACAGCCAGTTGTGATTTTTAACTTTTGTGCAATTTTTTTATAGTACAAGGTGCATTCATTTTTTTATTAGTGGTACACAGCGTTACGAAAAATTTAGAAAGGGTACACAAAAGTAATAAGTTTGGGAAACACTGCCCTAGTGTAATGTTAGTGCACTGGGGAACAAGAGCAATAATAGCCGTTCAAAATTTTCTTTCCAAAACTCACTCTAGGCATAAAACAACAACACAATAATTTAATAAAATGCTAATAAGAATGATTTTTGGACCCATTAAAAATAAACTACGCATTGGGTTAAAGGTTTAGGTAAAAAGTTATTTCTTCGTCATAAGTCAATATTTTTTGTTTTAAAAATTCAATCATAAAATTTTTGTTATTAAATCTTAAGGTGTATCTACTGTACATTGTCAACAGCAAGCTCCTTATGATTTTGGAGAACAAACAAGAGGAGAGAGAGAAGGTAATATTTAGTAAGAATATTTTTCTGCAAATTATGTGTTTTTTAGTATTTTTTCATTATCTTATTTAAATTGCTTCAGTTATTTAATATTTTGGAAAAAAATGGACATAAATCACAAGTGAATAACCTATTTTTAATTATATGTCTGAGACATAATTATCTGTTATTTTAAATAATATCAGTTTTTTTAAAATAAACTGGTATTTTTAATAATACCAGAGTCATTACTTTACAGTACGGTAATTTTACCAGAATTTTTTTCTCTTTGTTTTCCGATTTATCCTTGGATTTTTTTTTCATACGGCAGTTAAAGAAAAGAATCATAAATTTTTACAAAAGCTTTTACTGATTTAAAACTATTTAGGCTTTCTTTGCTTGGTACTTTTCATTTTGATTACATGATTTTTGTTTTATTTAATATGTTTTCATATGTTTCATTTGCTTCGTATGTTTTCATATGTTTCACACATTTCATATGTTTCGAAATGCTAAAACCATTAGTGTATTTATTATTTCATAAATTTAAACATAATATTTTATGAAATTTTTTCACTTTATGATAATTTAAAAATTATAATTTTACGTAGCAATGTATGTGAATATGATGATATAAAGAATACTCGTTAATTCTTATTTTAATGTTTAAATTCATATTAATTTTCATTTTTAAATTTGTAATTACTTTATTTTTTTGAAATTTTCTACTTTTAATAAAAATGTTGATGATTTCGCCCTTCTACGCAGACAAAAAATTCCTGGCAAAATCATCAAACTATATGGTAAATACATTTCTGGTAAAAATATCATAATTTTGGATAATAAACCCCAAATATACGATATTTAAACCATTTATTTGGCTATTTTTCTGTTCATACGGTAACGGTTTACAGGAAATTTTGGTTTTCAAAATTATAGTTCTTATTACCCCACATTTATTGAAAAGTACCGAATTGATAGTAAATAACTATAACCAAATGAATGGTTTTTATGCCATGTTCGAAGGTATCATGATGAAATTACCAAAATTTAATACATTTACCAAATTTCCATATAAATTAATTTCCATATAAATTTATCCATATATATTAAGTCATATTTTTTGTTAATTTTAACAAATTCATTACCCAAGTGCTTCGGTCAAAATTACCCAGCATTTTGATATTTTTACGGAAATAGAAACAAGGTAATTTTTACCTTATTCTAGTAATTTTACTATACTGTTTTTCTCAGTGCAAGTATAAATTTTCAATAAGGTTCTTAGTCATTTTAATTATTTTGAATCAATATTTCATTAAATATTTCAAATAAATATATGCATAAATTGATACGAACGTTTTCCAGAAAATGTAAAAATTAAAGAATTAACAATAACTATATAAAAACTCACTAACGAATAAGTCTATGAGAAGTTTAATACTATTAAACATTTAAAAATAAAAGTTTAATTAGTTAAAACTTTAATAAGTTAATCAGAATAATACTTAATGAAAGTTTATTAAAAATAGGTGCATGAGAGGTTTTTTTTTCAGTACCATTAAATAAGTCATATGAACCAAAAAATATCAGAAATTTTTTCGTATTAGTAGCTAAACTTTTTACCCGAAGCATTAAGAATTTCAAATAAATCTATGCATAAATCGATATAAAAGTCTTTCAGAAAATGCAAAATTTAATGAATAACTGATTAACATATTAATAATATTACATAAAAAGTTCATTAACAAATAGGCCTATGAGAAGTTTTGTTTCAGTACCATTAAATAAGTTACATGAACCAAAAAGAATATCAAATATTTTTTCGCATCAGTGGCTAATCTTTTTGTCCAAAGCTGAGTCCGTTTCATCCTAAGAGATAAAATACTTCCACATTTCACCACAATTCTTCTAGCCATTTATTTATTTTTTTTTTACCTTTTCCAGGTGAAATAATCTTACGCATTATTGGATTGAGCAGGAAAAGGGGGAAAAAAAATCTATTTCTTTGTAGCAGGCTTAGAGATTATTTATCTGATAAATTAATAAGCTCATAAAGATCGTGTAATGCCAGATATTCATCAGAGAATATTAATTAAATTTTTTTACTAAAGACTCTGAGAGAGAAATTTTGCAAATATTGCGTTAGTTTTTGATAATAGTGAAATAGAAGTGGTTATAATATTCGATACGATTTCTCTCAATTCAACTAAAATACATTGACTAATATGAAATATTATTACTTGTTTTTAACTTATATTAAATGTAACTCAAACAGATGGTATACGTAATGTAATTATATATTTTTATATTAATAGTATTAACTAACTATTAGGAAGCATAATGGTTATTGTATATATTAAGAGGAATGCGATATACTGGGTGCCCCAAAAATGACTAAAGATTTAAAAAAATGGAAGGAGGTAAAAAAAATACTTACTTCATTCTGCTGAAGAAACGAGATATTTATTCTAATCCAGTTTTTTCGCAATAAGTTTAAAAATAAGTTACAAAGTTTGTCAACAAGTAGTATTACTGACTGGAAAAAACTGTAAAACAGAGTTCACTGCTGTATTGTAAAAGCATATCTGTTAAATTTACGGAAAAAAGCAGTCTGCTGGTCTGCCAATATAAAATCGCTTATTTCAGAGAAATATTATTATATTATATACTGTTATTTAAAGGCTGATGCCTGCTTATTAAGTATATTATTATTACTTTTAAGTTATTATTTGTTTAGTACTGTTATTATAAGAAATTCCAATATTTTACAAGTGAATAAATAAAATAGCTTAAATAATAATGGTGCAATTGGAAAATAACTATGTCACCATTGTGGTTGGTGAAAAGCCGAGAAAAACATTCGTATGACCAATCGACGCTAGGAATCGACCCTAGGTCACCTCAGTGGGAGGCGCGTGCCCTGCCCCCTGAACTACCGCAGCGATTGTGTTTTAATGTGACGAAAACTGTTAACTGTTAAACTGTTAAAAGTCTTACTTATCGCGATAATATTTAATAGTAAAAACGCTTAAAACTATTGTGTGGCTCTCCCATATGAAAGAGTCTGGCAACTTAACTTATCTAGAAATTATATCTTAAGAAATATAATAATCAGGTAAAATATGAATTTCACAATAAAGTTATCGTAAAATGGTTTGAAAAAAAAAGATTATCTGGTGGTTCGGAGTTATCGGTGGTTAAGCAAAACTTCATGGCAAAAACTAGAAATTGAACGGACGGTTTTAATCCGTTTATATTTAGGATGAAAAACAGAGAAAAGTCATTTTGACAACAAAACAGCTTTAAACCTTCAAATATACTAAGAAATTCTGCAAAAAGAACTTTAATTTTTTGCAGTATGCACATCAGATCATTTCAAGTTATATATTTTTACGAGTGCTTTTTAATTTTGTCTTCAATCTGCCCCACGAAGCAGTTAGAAATAGTGGTTATTTAAAAAATAGTTTTATAGATATTTTCATTCAGAAGCGCCTTCTGTTGTAGAACTTTATAACGAATTATGAAACTTTGCGAGAATTAACTAGTTTCCTAAGCAAGCCGTGCATTTCTAGTTTCTTTCGTTTTTCTTTGATTGTTTTATCAAATCGTAGACCATTTTTAAGGTACACGTAATTTTTTTTTATCAAGCGACATAATATTTGTTTGAACAATGATAAAGTTAAAGAAAAGAGTTAACTTATAAAAATTACTTTTTATTATTATAAAGGTTTTTCGTCTTTATTTTTCAACTTTTTTTAAAAATATCGATATTTAGCTGGTTTTGATATCAAAAGACTTAAGTAACTTTTTCTTAGCCGTTGTTTAATTACTGGAAAGGACAACTAATAATTAAAGTAACAATTAAAATGTTTACAATTAATATTTTTAGGGGAGCTTTCTCCAGTAGCGATAGCAGGTGTTGCTTTTTTGGCTGTGGCTGTAGTTGCTGGACTTGGTGTTACAATTCTCTTTTGTTACTACGTTCATAGAAAACAAAGACAAGAACTGTATGCGGCTGGTGCATTTCTGGCTTCAAACACTATTAGAAAGTAATGTTAAATTAAAATGTTCTAACAAGCTGTGCTGGTTGAGTCAAGGGGATACGAATGTGCCGATAAATCATGGTACATTCGTACCTCCTTGACTCAAACTTTAAGCATGATATTTTACTGAATTGAAATTTGTAGATTAAAGTAGACGATTGTATACTTTTAGTAAGAAAAATGATATTTGAATGAACGAATATCTGTAGTTTACTGTTTATTTTATTTATTAATAAAGTGGAAATTGATTCAAATTATGAAGTTGGAGTATTTTATTATTTACCAACAGCTTATGTTATTTAAAATCACATTTAAAAAGAAAGCAAATATTAATTTCTCATAGTGGCTCTTTCTGAATACCCAAAATAGCCGTGAACACCAGTAAATTTTTTGTGGCCGAGGAACTAAAAGTACAAAGTTACAAAATTTAAAAGTAATTATTTATACACTATGTGGCCAGAAATATCCAGACATCCAGTGGTATGGCCATAAAGTTTTAAATACTGAAAATAAATTTTTAAAGTATCTGAATGAAAACAAATAATGAGAAGATAACTTAGGATTTCGGAATGGTGATATTAGCTTCCAATAATTTGTTTGCTTTTTGATATTTCGATATATTTCGATTTTTTTTTCAGCAATTGAAATTTCATTGCTTACTCAAAGTTTGCCTGTACTTACTTTTTCTTTCTTTTAAATTTTAAATTAGTAATAAAGGTGAAAGAAAATTTGCGATGAAAAGTTTCTCCCATGGTATGGCGTCCTCTCAATGCCTTTTAATATTTTGGGGGCATTTATGCACTTTCATTGCATACTTAACAACTAATTATTCGTGCATATAATTACCGTATAATGCTGATTATATAGATTTATTAAGGCTCAAGGCAGATCCGGTAATAAAAAAGCTCAGCTCATTGAGCAATTTTTTTTTTGACGGTTGGCAGTTCAGATTTAGGGTTGACAATTGTTCGTGTTCCCATTTACTGTTGCTTTTGTATTCTTTGACATAGATCTCGCACTGAGCCCACTTTTATAAGCAATTAAGATGAATTCCTTGACATAACTTTCGGATAGAAGTAAATATTTAAGTTCCCAAATTAAATTTCCTGCATTTTCATTCGATGCCTTTCATCCTCTTTCCAAAGACATCAAGGGACAAACTAAGTAATTTTTCCACCACTTTCCAAGAATCTTAATAAGAAGACGAATTTGCGACAGGAAAACAATGTGAATCGATTCTGTCAGTCAATTGCTCAATTAACAGGATCGATTAGGAATATGCATAGTTCTTGATTTATCCAGTTAATTGGACAATTCGGTTAAACGGAGTTTGAATAATCGGTGTTCCTCTGCAGAATATTTTTATTCATATACTAATAAAAAATTATCTGATATTAATAAAAAATAATTAATATTTATTAAAACTTAAAGTTAATGCTATATTACAAAGCATGATTACACTATGTTAGTTCGTACTTCAAGCTTATATTTCTTCCAATAACTTAAGAGAATACCCTTGCATTAACTTCAATAATCAATAAGGATGTAAAAAGTAATGCAGTAAAAAATAAAAAAGTGCATCCCATTAACAAATTTAATAATTGATAATAGAACCTGCATGCATAACTTGTTAATATCAATATTAATGATTGTTAATGATTGTAAATATTATTAATTATTTTTTTTTTAAAAATAAATACACAATAAAATAAAACACACACAAAAAAAACATTGAAACAAATAACAAAAATACAAACAATCCTACGCACAAACATGTGTAAAAATATTCAAACAGCTTTTCGAAGTTTGATATGTATTTCTTCTATATTTTATTTAAGTACTAGTAAATATCTTGAAGTTTAGCCATAATATTAGAAATCTTAACTCTTACTATTGCATCTACTTAATTTACATCTATCTAATAATTAGACACGCATTACATTCATGATTTTTTTTATAAATTTGAAATAACACTTTATTAACAAAATAAAATTTTCGGCTCAGTAAGCGAGTGTTAATTCCATGTTCAATTAAAAAGTATGAATTTTCGATGCATGTTCTGATTTTTTTTGGCTAGTTTTGAATATTGCAATTTTTTTAGTTTAATTGTAGTTTTTTTATTTTTTGTTTGTTTGTAAATTTTCATCAAAAATGTTGATTATACTTTATTGGTTGTATTTTTAAAAGTCAATATACAGTGTCAGTTTAAATTTATACTAGTTTTAATGTTAATTGAAGTTAAAATCAAAATGCATGTAACAGTTTTTAATACCTTTTTTAAGCTTTAAGATAAAATTATTATTTTAAGCATTCTACGTTGCTATAATGTCGCATTATATTAAATTGTGAAAGTTTTCATTATTTAATGTTATGAATTATAGGAAAAATTTGATTAAGTGTTATATGGATTCTTCAAGTTAAGTACTAAAAAATTAGTTGAAGAAAAATTGATTTTTCTGATATTTCAAAAAATAATCACGTATATTGTTCACTGATTTTAGAAAATTAAATAAATTTTAAAATACTTACAAAGTTCTTTCTAAAATCAAATGTAATAGCCTCTAAGCGANACACTCCGTGCCCCGTTAGAAATTGGTTAAAATAGAAATTAGTTTGCAACCTTGTAGTTGACGGGGTCTTAATGAATTTAAATGTATGCCTGCCTTTCTCAGAATTTTCCCAATTGGTTTTCCACCTTGTTATTATATATTTTTTTTGCGTTCATTTTTATGAGACATTTTTATGAATTCCGGATCAAATTACGGTATAAAGTATCGGCACCTTGGGTGCATCATCTGTAAAATCTATTTACCGGTAAAATGTTGCACCGTAATTTTTATTTAATTAGAGTGATTCCAGATTTGACGGATATTATTACTGTAAAAATTACCGCATATCAGATTTTTTGTTTCGTAACATGATCCAGTAAATATTGATTTAATTTATACGGATTTAATCCATTTTACCATAAAATCCATTTCTACCACAAAACCCATTTCTACAGTAAAATATTATACTGTTATTTTTACAGTAGTATTTATTTAATTAGAGTGATTCAGTGATTTTATGGCAATTATGACTGTAAAAATTACGGTGTATGTCAGATTTTTTGTTTTGCAACATGTGCTGGTAAAATGGAGTTTACCAGAATTTTTTTACTGGGAAATCGAAATGAATTTTAAGCCAATATTGACTAAATCATCGAAATTCAAATTTTTACAACAAAAATGAATGAAATCTTATCTTTATAAAAATTTTTGAATAATATTTTTATTTCAAATAGGACAAACGTCATGACATTTAAAAAAACCATTTACCTATAGGTCTACATATGACGACTTGCCTATTTAGCTTCATGTCTGAAAACATGTTTTCTCGTTATTTCCTACACTTTTAATTGCTTTATTAATCCCTTTAACCAATTAATCCCTTTAATTTTTTTTAATCCCAAATTTCCGACTCCCGGTGGCTGAGCGGTAGAGCTTCGCGCTGTCGTGGCACAGGACTCTGGTTCGATCCTCGGACCGGGCAAGGTTGACTCTGTCTTTCATCCCTTCAGTGGGTCGATAAATGAGTACCAAGCATGCTTGGGAATTAAACACTGGGGGTTCCGCGTTCGGCTGACCACCTGACCGGAACATCTGCTCCTGCACCCCGGAGCCCAAGGTTAAGAAAACTGATATGGGCACAGTAGGTCTTGGCCTTCTATGGGCTGTCGCGCCGTTGAGTTTAGTTTTTAAACATAATTTCCGGCATAAATGTTCTCTTTATAAGTGCCTAGGAAATAGATAATGCTTTAACATATAAAACTATTATTCTATATTTTTCAGTCAATTTTTTTTAAACCCTTGTATTTTGACCATTTTTGCCGATCGAGTTGCGATATTGGAAGTATATGTACACTTACGTAGGAAGTACATTTGAAATTAATATTATACCTATTAAATAGCTTATTTTCTGGTCTATAAATTGCCCAGTTCATTATTTCTAAGCACAATAGAGCAAGCAATGCTGAAAATAATTATCTGAAAAAAAATTACGCGCTTTCTTTTAAAATGTAATTTTTAATCAATTTTGACTAGTTCTAAAACCTTTACAATTTGTACAGAATTGTTTTGATTGGCACTATGTAAATATCATGAGCCGTGGTGGCTTAGGAGCTAGAGCACTCCCTCCGCAATGAGATGATCCAGATTTGAATCTCAGTGATAGCTGGTCGATATGAATTCTGCACCCGGCTTGCACCGACCAAGGTGCTGACTTAAAATATCTCTAGTAGTAGAGTGATCATGGGTTAGAGGCTGTGGGACTAACTGTGTTAGGTTTTCATGATTTTCATCTCTATCTAACATAAATGCGGGATAGTTCCATCAAACAGTCTAACTCGAAGGCGAGTTTCTCCCAATATTTTATCCAGGAGAGACCTTGTCTTCTAGGTTGCGTTCAAAATTGCTAGGCTACGGAGGGGAACACTGGTAATCGTAAACTTAAATGACCACAGTGTGGACGTAAAGTATCCTCAGTGGTAGACGGATCATGGGTCAGAGTCCTCGTTCCGACAGGCTAACCGTGGGAGGTTTTCATGGTTTTCCTCTCCATGTAACGAAAATGCGTTTTAGTTTCCTCAAAAAGTCCTCCATGAAGGCAAATTTCTTCCAATACTTGATCCAAGAGATTTCTTGTCTTCTGGATTGGGCTCAAAATTCAAGGTTACTGATTTAAAAAATGGGTCCTCGTAAACCCAAAATTGGGTCTGCTACGACGGTTACAAAATAAAAGTAAAAAATCGTAAACTTTAATTTGGGTTGGCTGTTCAACGACTGTTTTGAAATAAAATACATTAATATCATGTTTTATTGTGTCATACATATACAAATGAAAAAATAATCAAAATTTAATATTTTAAAATTTGTTCCTTGAATATATTTCGGTGCCAAATCAATATGAAAGAAAAATATGCCGCATTGTTATTTGTATAAACGAAGAGTATTGACCCACCAATGAAACTTCAAAATAATATTTAAAATTCCATAAAAGTTCAAGGTTATACACACACACACATTATTTACTATTATATGTCATAGCAGAATGAAGATCCTCAATCATGTGAGGCTCCCGAAAAGCTCCTGAAAATTTACCAGTTCTCCAAAGAAAGAAGACTTTTAGCACCCCTGTCCTTAAGATTTATAGTTATCTTCCAGAGCATAACCTTCAATGTCAAGCCAATATTTCACAAAGAGTAAGGCAGTTTTAATCTCAAC